CGGGGGCAGGGCTGCGTTCTGGGAATGGGGCATGGGCAGGGGTGAGAGGGGCCTCCTGTGGGGAATCACACAGGGATGTGACCTGGGATGTGGGGCATCCTGGTTGGGGGTTATCGGGGTTGGGCCTGGCTGTGGGGGTGGGTGTCACGGGGGACGTGGGACAGCTTGGGGCAGCATCGCGCTGGGATCTGGGATGTGCGGGGGTCGGTTCGGCTTCCGGGCCCTGGCAGCGTCCGGCTCCGCAGGAGATCCCTGGGAGGAGATTCCGGGTCTGTGGGAGCAGGGAAGGCCGCGGGGTGGTGCCAGAGCCAGCAGAACGAGCTGGTGTCGCCCCAGTGAAGCTCCTGCCCCCCGCTTGGTTCTTGTCCTCTTCCTGATCCCGGGCGCAGCCCTGGCCCTGCTGCGCACAGCAGGCTCTGCCCGTCCCTTGGGTCTCGGGGACATGTCGGGTATTTCACTCCCAGGCCATCCTGGTGGCAATTGAGTAACTGTTAGCGTTAATCCAGAGTGGTGTTGGTTGGCCCTTTCTTATCTTCTGAACCAACCCAGTGATTGCTTCTCTTCCTGCATGGACCAGCCCTCCTCTTTCTGCACCAGAATTGTTCCATATTCTCATAAATAGCATTAATAGCAGTTTTACAAGTAAGGAAGTGATTTGATAACACAGGTTTTCCAAATAGCAATTGGTTTCGAATGAAAAACCTTTCCTTTAAACAATAAAATGGGTAGCGTAATAGCCCTGTTCAACAGGCTAGGAGATTTCAGAAAATATATGTTTTTTTACATAACTCACTCTCCTTTTCCACAAGTAAAGCCAATAGCTGATCTTCAATATAGTATTTCAGAGTGTTTAGCATATGGAGGGGAGGATCCTTCAGGATTTCCTGAGGGAAAGTTTATGCAGTTGGAAAAGGAAGTTTATATACATATATCCAATCCTTTTGTAGTTTTTTCTACAAGTTCATAAACTGCATCCATCTGAAAAAAAAAAAAAGAGTGTTCTCAAAATTCTAGCTTATTGAAACTGTTTGGTTGGTGTGGTGATGTGTAATGTTTCCAAAATCAATATTTATGCAATGTACTGGTTACATTTGTTGTTGATCTTTCCTATTTTTCCCATTTAGGTGAGGTTTGATAGTGGGGTATTACTGCTCAGCACACACAGACTAATCTGGAGAGATCAGAAGAATCATGTAAGTCTCCTTTTCTCTCTTGTATTCAATTATAAATTTCATAATATCATATTATGATAAACAATAAGCAGCTTACAGTGAAGAAAACAAATATAGGGAAGATGTTTTTGTTTCGTTTTTGTGCAAGCATATTCCATTTCTAGACTCATAGTGGAAAGAAAACTATGTACAAGGTATGTTCTTTTACCCAATTGTACTTTAATAAAATGATCATGTAGAGATGAGGAGGGATGATGGATATTAATCCATAGAGAATTTTCTTCTCTACAACACACAAATAGGTAGCTTCTTTTTCCAAACTTCATGCGTGCAGTCAGGATATTATTAAAAGCATAAGAAGCCGTACATGCAGATTGACATGACATGCACCATTTTAAAGCTGTAGTAGAAGGAATTGTGCTTGTTTTGGACACAACCTTTAAGAAAGCATAGCTATGGAAGCCAAAGTTCAGACAGAGCCTGGGCAGATGACAGTTTACGAATGCGTATTTTTCTCCACTGCAGTGGATGGATTTGCACAAGGATAGCCGAAGTACCTCCCACACAAAAAGTAATTCCCCAGCAAATATCACATCTTTGCTCCTAAAGGGGTACAGTAAAGTAAATGTCTGTCGGAATGCATCAAGTGCTGGATCAAGCCCTTGGTGATGAGGTGGATGGAGGAGTTCTTCATCAGTCATATCACCACGCATAGAATAATGTAATTTATTAGTTACTCAGCATTGACAAGATTGGGGCTTTTGGAGTATAATTATTAGCTCCCCAAGGAATGTGAGTGGCAAAATTTTAAGGACCTGCAAACATTGTGCATTGACAGGGATAAGCTGCAGTAGTCTGGAAAATTTAGGGTCTAAATTTTGAGCATAGGTCCTAAGGCTTCTGCACCTTTTATGAATCTCATGTGAGGTGTCTAAAACTGACACAATGACATAAAGATCTTTTGTTTGATCTGAACCTCAGAGCGTGAAGTTTGTGTTGAATGTTGTATTTCAATTCCTCTCTAATAGATTACTTCAGGTATTACCAGAGTACTTTATGCAGAGTACCTCTGGGAGCACATGTAGAAATCAATGTTGGCTTTGAAAAGTTAAAAGCAGAATCTTCAGTAAGATTGTTTTAATTTCTTGTGTACATTGTTTTTTTTTCTAGGAATGCTGCATTGCTATTCCTCTGTCTCAGATTGTCTTCATTGAAGAGCAGGCAGCTGGGATAGGCAAAAGGTAGAAGTGATACTTCTGACTTTCTCAGCTGGATAATTTAAACATACAAATTAGGTGATGTAACCAAGATTACATATTAATTTATGGTCAAGTTCAGGGTGTAATCCAAATATCCAGGCTGATGGCCACAAAAGCCTGGTATTGTGTCAAGATACAACAATCAAGTGCATAGGAGAGTCATAGCAGAAATTGTGTGTTGGATTTGATTTGATTTATTAAATCATATTATAATCACTAAAAACATGCTCTAGGTGGCCCTTTTCATTTGATTTTCATTGATTAAATAACTTTCCGTGTCCATCTGATTGATTTTTAGCTTGGAAATGGCAGCCAAGGTTAGAAGAAACTGGAGTGTTTCTACTCACCTAGATAAATCAGTATGGTTAAGTGTCCAAAAAAAAAAACACCAGAAAAAGAAAAAGAGCTTAACTGGGGAAATCTGAACAGTTTATATCTGCTTGCAGCATATGGATGGGTGGGTAGAATACGGAAATATGCTGGAGGTGTCCAGCAGAGAACGTATAGTTCGCTGGTGCTGGAGAAGTCAACTAAATAAAAGACCCCCGGAAAAAAATGTCTGTAAAATGAAATAGGAATGATGGACTTGAAGTCATGCTGTGACAGTGGTCTGTTATAGTCCTAAAATAATATTATCTGAAGACTTGTTTTGCTGGTAGGTATCATTTTAGACTGTTATGTCCATGCACATTACCTTTGAATGTTGGTTTTGGATAAGTTCGTGTACACTGTTCACTAGTGACATTTACAAGTGGGATAGGTTAAACATAATATTGAGACCTTTTGTTTTCCTGTGACAAAGACAGTGTATTTTGGCAATAGTTATTGCAAATTAAAAGCCAAATCAACTGCTCTGATTGACAATTCGTTTGTACCTCAGCTAACATTTTCAGAAATGATTGCTTGAAATGCTAAAATATATTAAATTTATTTGTTAAGGAGTTGATAATGTATACATTTTAAATCTGTGAGATGCTGTTGTTTCGGAGGTTACAGTCATATTTTTATATGCTTTAAAATTGAGACAAAATATTAACATTGTTTATGCACAAATGTAAAGCCGTTTTAATGTATTTTAATCTTTGTGTGAGTAAAGTTAATACATATTTTAATTAAACGATTAACTTTGTAAAAATATTGTTTTAGGAATCAGAGAAAGTTTATTCTTCTCCTTCCTTATATATTTTTTTTAGTGCCAAAATAGTAGTTCATCTTCATCCTGCTTCTTCAAACAAAGAGCCTGGTCCATTCCAAAGCAGCAAATATTCCTACATCAAACTTTCTTTCAAAGAACATGGTCAGATTGAGGTGAGTTGTGTACCGTGCATTCTGCTTATTGGTTGTCCAACATACTGACTGTACTCCAGATCTTTGGTTTGTTGCTTCGGAATGCTTTCCTTGCACTTCGAACAACAAGGAGTATGGAACTCACTTTTCTGGATGTTGTTCAGCGGAATATACTTATTATTAGCTTATTAATCAATGCCACTTTTCAGTATTAGCATAAAGCAACTAAGAGTCTGTCATCTACTGTGGTTGTCTTTACACTGTTGAATTGATCAATAGTAATTACATTGATCAATTTTGCCACCCTTTAAAAGCCTATCTTTGAGCAATAACTAAACCTGCACATTTTTAACTTTGGTATTCTTGGAAGACTTTGAGTGTCTGGAAGAAAAAAGTTCATTATAGGAGTATTAATGCAAGCTTAACTAGTAGCAGATTTGGCTTGTCCTCCAATGTATTTTTGAAGATGGAAATTCTTAATTTCCTGTAAGCGAATGTTATACTGTGAACACATTGGCCTTACCATGTTTTCTCTTTTAGTAAAATTTGTTGTATCTATCACGAAGGCATTAATAATATCCAGAAATGCTCTGCACAACTCCCAGGGTCTCTATTATCACTTTTTAACATTTGCAGTTCTATAGGCGGTTATCAGAAGAAATCACGCATAGGAGATGGGAGAACGTGCCTGCTGCTCAGACCATGCAGGTCAACAAGAGCCCCCAGGTGAGTACAGAGCTCCTGATGGTCTCCCTTATGTTCGATGTCACTTTGATTAGCTTAAATGCTGAATATTCCATCTCTTGTTTCCACTTTGTACCTCTCCAGATACTGCATCATGTCTTTAACCAGCCTGGTTGGGACATACATGAAGTCATCTTTACTTTGCCCATTTCTGCACTGGCATAAATTAGCTTCTCCTTTGCAGTTTTCACTTTATGTAGGACAAGTGGCCTCCCTTCCTTGGGTGTGTTTGACTTGAATGAAATACAAATGAGCTCAATTCTCTATGTAATTGTGCCTGCATGTGTATATATATGTGTGTGTTTGCTTATGATTTTGTTCATCATTATAGATCCGAGACTGAAGATCTATTGGTCTTACTGTGATTTTTTTGTCTGTTTTTCTGTGTCTGGAAGTCCAATATATGACAAGTTGGAACATGTATGTGTCTCTCTCCAATGCCTCTTTTAAGCGGACCATTGTTATTGTAAAGAGCCTTGTTATCGTATCTTGGACTGCCTCCTTTTATCTTTCCTCATACTTGTAGGTTTTACCTCCTTTAACCTTAACTTATCTACAAACTTGTAGGTTTTACCTCCTTTAATCTGTCTGTATGCTTCTACATAGGTTGTACAGGTTATATTCTATACTATAGGTTATACATTCTGGATAAGTATATGGTTATTGTTTCCGTGTATCTTTGTTGCATGTGCAGTACTGCTAGGATGCTTTAAAGCTGTCTCAGTGGCAAATCATGTATGTTCTGCTTCATAAATACACCCTTGCATTTGATGGACTGAGGGGAAGACAGATACCCTGCATGAAGAACCACCTCATGAAGATGTGTTACTTCCTGTTCTCATTCTTAAGTTACAGCAAGTCACTGCCACCACTGCCAGGCTTTTAGGAAAAGAATTGAGGGTGGCACCAATGCCACGTAGGTACCAGCCTTTTCAAAACATGTTCAGCTGCAGACAAAAATTCTCCATCACAGACATAGATACCTCCATGATTATCAGCAAGGTGATTTAGGCTGCACGTAGCACTGCGTTGCTGCAACTTTGCTTCTTCAGGCTAAATTTCATAGAATCATAGAATCATAGAATGCTTAAGGTTGGAAGGGACCTCTAGAGATCATCTAGTCCAACCCCCCTGCTCCAGCAGGGACACCTAGAGCACGTGGCACAGGACTGCGTCCAAGCGGGTTTGGAAGATCTCCAGAGAAGGAGACTCCACAACCTCTCTGGGCAGCCTGTTCCAGTGCTCTGTCACCCTCACTGTTAAGAAATTTTTCCTTAAGTTCCTGTGGAACTTTTGGTGCTTCAGTTTCCGGCCATTTCCTCTAGTTCTGTTGGTGACCACCAGTGAAAAGAGGCCAGCACCATCCTCTGCACTCCCTCCCTTGAGGTACTTATAGACACTGATCAGGTCCCCTCTCAGCCTTCTCTTCTCCAGGCTGAACAGGCCCAGCTCCCTCAGCCTCTCCTCATAGGGCAGATGTTCCAGGCCCCTGATCATCCTTGTGGCCCTGCGCTGGACTCTCTCCAGCAGCTCCACATCCCCCTTGTACAGGGGGGCCCAGAACTGGACACAATACTTCAGATGCGGCCTCACCAGGGCTGAGTAGAGGGGCAGGATCACCTCCCTCGAAAGGGCTTTCACAGGAAGGGTATGTTGTATATAACCTCTCTTAAAAACACTCCTTCCCCCCATTCATTACCGTTAAGAAGAAATTAAATGAAACAAAGAAATTTGTCTGCTCATCCCAAGGAGAAGCCCGGCAGAGGGGTGAGCGGCTCCGAGGGGACCTTGCACAGACGGCTGCAAGCGCGAGCAGCAGCACTGTCAGTGCCCAAACCCAGCAGGGGCTCTGCTCTGCTTCCCTGCAAGTCCCGTGACATTATCCACAGCTGTATCCTACGGGAGTAAGTTCCTTCCCGAAGCAGCTGTCTCCTTTCCTCCTTCCTGCCAACACACAACCCAGCCACCAGGCACCGAAACCACCCGCGGGG